GTTGCCTCGGCCAAGAGACCAACTCCCACCTCTCTGCAGCCCCCTTTCAGGTAGCTGGAGAGAACGATAAGGTCCCCCCTCAGCCTCCTCTTCTCCAGGACAAACACCCTCAGTTCCCTCAGCCGCTCCTCACAGGACTTGTGCTCCAGACCCTCCCCCAGCTCCGTTGCCCTTCTCTGGACATGCTCCAGCCCCTCAGTGTCTGTCTTGTAGTGAGGGGCCCAAACTGAACCCAGGATTCAAGGGGCAGCCTCACCAGTGCTGAGTACAGGGGGACAATCCCTGCCCTGGTCCTGCTGGCCACACTGTTCTGATGCAGGCCAGGATGCTACTGGCCACCTTGGCCACCTGGGCACACTGCTGGCTCACAGTCAGCAGGATGTCGACCAAACGATGCTCTCCAGTACAGAGAGGAACCGACGTGAATGGGTGTTTCTTCTTGTTTTCACTTAAGGTCTGGTCTGGTGAGTGTGGGAACTCTAGGCTGCTAACGCTGCCCACAAAGTCATTACTCTGGGGCCTTAATTACCTTTAAATTGATTTCCCCTGCATCTGCCCATTAATCCTCTGCCCCTTGAAAAGTTTTCCCTTTCCAGATGGAGTCCCTCTGCCCCATTGGTAAGGCTATTGCATGTTTTGTATCCCTTTATTTCATTTATTGCTTTCCTTTGACCATCACTTCAGCTCATCTGTGTTTTATTGCTATACCGCGGGCTGTTTTAATTTGCTGGTTTATCTTTGCACGGCACAACCCTGCGTGCTGAGGTACTGTTATCTGCTTTCCTTGGTATATTTAGATCTTGTTCTCCTGAAAAAAAAAAAAAAAAATCCAAAGTAGGTCTTGGGGAGGTTTTGCCATCATTTTCCCGTCTGGGTTTACCATCCTCCTGCCTCCTCTCACAACCGGAGAAGCGGTCCCCAGTGCCGGATCCCCTGCTCACCTCTGGGCACCTATCCCAGCAAGCAGGAGCCCCCGTCGCACGCCTCACCCAGCTCCGAGCTCACCTGCAAGAGAGGGGGAAGAGCCGAGAGGCA